CTTATCGTAATACCGATTCATTCATAACCACATATAAGAACTGTATTCATTTCCGTTCAATAAATATTAATAAGGCTTATGGCTCTAAGAACTGTTTCTACCACAGTTAAGTAATAGTTAAGGGTGAAAGCGTGACAGGTGGTGATAGTATCTCTGATCCATAATTATAATAACGCCTGTAACCGTTGCGGGGTAGGCAGAGCATCAACGGATTACTTAATATCGTCTGCGAGGTTATCGTCTATTCTGTGAATTACAATGCATCAAAACGTTTGAAGAAAATCAGCTGGTGAATTTTATGTTTTTTATCGCTCTCTTCCCGGTCCTGCGTGGAAAAATACATATCCATATTTTTTATCTTAGTTTTAGTAAAAAAGACATAATAATCCAGATATTGTGACCTTCTGTGTTCGTCCATCGTACCGTCGTTCGTCTTGTAGAATCACGGTGGCGCCACCTAGCTGAATTTAATTTCGAAACATATTCGATTTTCCCACGGGAATGAGATGTTTTTCCGCGGAAAAAGTAGCCTATGTCACTCTACAGCCACCGAACTATCCTCATACCAAAATTAATGCCATGCCGACGCTCTGTTGCGACGTGAAACGTCAAACAAACAAACACTCTTTCGCATTTATAATAATAAGTATGGATTTTATTTGCTTAAATTCTTCGCGGAAATGGGTAATTTGTACAGCGATAAGAAGTTTACTTTCGGAAATAAAATTACTGCGCGGTAAATACTTAAGAAATTTATAAATTTATACAATTGTGTTCAAAAGTTTGGTCCATTTAGAATGTCGAGAAGTGACCTGACACAATAATGGGATATCTTCTGCGGTTGCAGTGAATGTTGTCGATTTCAGTTCTGGAACGTCGTAAGAAGTTTCTGGCTTAAAACGTGTTATGGGACAATCAGTCTCTTCCTTTTGTGTCCAGCTAGGACCACCCATCCATAGTGTGAACTAAGAGTTGCGAAGGTAACAAACCGCGGGATAAACAGTCAGCAGATAAAAATTTTTCGCTGGTAAGAGATTCTGAATTTTAAAAACCCTATTAGCAACAAAAACCTGCAGATGATGTGGAGATGTGTTAATCCAATGTAGCGCTACGGTGGAGTCAGAAAATGCATAAATGCGGTTAATATTACAATGCGATGAATAGCTGTCTGACACAGCGCGTAGTAGCTTTGCAAGTAGTAAGGCAGTCATAAGTTCGAGTCGCGGCGTCGTAATAACTCGGTTTTACTAGGCATTACTTTGGATTTTGCTCACATTAAGGTAGTCGTCCGCTTACCATAGTTGTTCGTATGTAAATATACAGCGGCTCCATATACCCGCTCGCTTGTTTCACAAAAACCTAAAAGGGTGATATTGGTATTCTCGAACACCTTAATAAGTCGCGGTATTTTTAAATCTGCAATAAGCGATAACTCTAATTGAAACTGAGACCATTCATGCATTCACAATATTTTCAGAATACCAATCTAACTTCATTAAGCAAACTTCCTTGATAAGGAGTTTGTCGTATATGATAACCGGTCCTACTAGCTCAAGTACATCCCACAAGCGAGCCACTGTTGATAGCATATTGCGTTTCATTCAAATTCGGTCGGATGGTAAAATAGTAAATGAAAAACTATCGCAAGCCGGTAAACATTGCATGGCAAGAATTTTAAGAGACTCGTCTTTTTTCAGATCAATTATTTTAGCTAACCGATGGGATTCGGGAACATTTTTTAGTAACTCATGAGAGTTACTGGACCACTTTACCAATTCAAAACCACCCTATGCAAACATTTTGATTAGCTGTTGCAATGCGTCTAGTGCAACATCTTTATTGGGAAAAGATCAGGTGATATCGTCAACGTACAGTTGGTAACGAGTTGCGCAGCGAGAGGGAAATTATTTTCCTCTAGTTTAGCTAATTTACGTAAGGTTCGATTAGCAGTGAAGGGACTAGATCGTAAACCAAAGCACACGCGTTGAAAAACAAAATAGCTTAGCGGTTCTCTATTATCAAAGCAGTATATTATTTGCTGATAAGGCCGATCATCTTCGCGAATTACAATCTGTAAACACATTTTACGTATATCAGCAGTAGCAGCGATTTCAAAGAGACGAAAGTTAATAACATTTCAAATAAATTACATTGTAGTGGCGGTTCGATATGTAAAATATCATTTAACGCTACTCCAGAATCGTTGTGCGTGCTTGCGTCATGGACAATCATGGACGATCACCGCATGATGCGGTAATTCATAAACCTTGCTATAATTTTGTGATTCCGGAATTTCTTTTAAGATAACATTTTGATAGGTATTCACGGATGACTTCATCATATTGCGATTTAAATTCGGGAATTTTATGAAATTTACGTTTTAAATGAATGAATCGTTTACGAGCCTTTGCCAAGGAATCTCCTAAGAGTCTAGTTTTATCCTTGAAACGTAATTCTACAACAAAGCGCCCAGTTTCCTCACATTCAGTAGTAGTGCAGTAAAATCTTCTCGCAATATCTGTCTTGTTCGGAGAAAATCGGGACCTCACTGAGGTCCTCTATCTCAAAAAAACTTGCAAAGATGGTCATAAATAGACTGCGGGAGGAAACGTTGAAAAAAATAAGAGTAAGACATGTCAATGGTGTCGTTGATATCAACTTGCGCGTTACCCAGGACTCGTAGCCTATTGTGGTCAAAAACGCAGAGGGTTGTTGCGGGGATCCAGTTACTACCGTGGAGCAACAACTCAATAAATAATTTTGCTCCGAGAAGTATCTCGACTTATGACGACTTAGATAATTTTTCATCAGCCAGCGGTAGGCATTTAAGATAATCTAGCAACGTGGTTTCAACGGGCACGGTAGGTAAATTACCCGTAATTTGATTTAAAACCAAAGTGAATAAAACTGTTATTTACGGATTATATCGCGTTTAATTACAACTTTAATTTATTTTTATTTATCCAACATTTATCATATATTTGTCAACGTACAGTTGGGTAGTAGTATAATAGTTTTATTCAATGTGTAGTTTTCGCGTAAATTTTAGAAATTTGGAGGGATTGATTCGGCTAAATAAGTTGAGGTTCACCATTCCCTTTGCGAGACTCGAATGATCGCATAATCCCTTTACGATAGTTTTGCGATTTAACTGTCCAATATTTAACCCTAATTTGCGGCTAAAGGCAGTTGCAATAATATTATATCGTGAACCTGGATCTTTTATGCACCTACAAGTAAACGTTTTTTTTATGGCGGTCTAATACATTAACTTGCGCAGTACCCAATAATGTGTCGATATTTTGTGGCTTCAAAATAAGACATGAGTTGTTGTCTGCGCTGTCAACCGACAGAAAGTCTACACCGGCGGTTGAATCCTTAAGCTCGGGTTGTCGCGCTGGAACGGGAGAGCGTGGGCGCGTTGCAATATATCGAGATTCGTAACAATTTGTGGATCCTTATCTCGCTTATCGATATATAAGTCGAAGTTTGCAAATGAATAAGCGAATGATGGCGTGACCCACATACACGACATATGTTAGTGCTTTTGCATGCGTTCCAAATATGTTTAGAGCTGAGATATTTTGTGCATAAACGATTTTCTTTCACAAATTTTTGTCGTTGGTCGAGTGAAAAAATTCATGAATTCGCGATAATTATAAATATGATCGTGCAATTTATTACAAAGCTTACATGTTGTCAATATCACATTATTAGAACTCGATGTAATACAAGAATGCGAGATCTTAGTAATAGCAGGCAACTTAGGTTTATCACTTTCTTCTGTTGAAAATTTATATGCCGGTGCGGAGTTTTGTGTGTTGCATTATTTTCACTTGACTCTTTACGAAATTAATCAAGCTATCATAAGAAGTTATGTTGATATTTCGGACAGACATTTCAAATTCTTTTGAAGTATCGCGATCTAAGCGTTTGTGTGCAAATGAACAAACACATAATCACAAAGTAACTTGACATTGGGACACGGACGGACACAGATGTGACGTCCCTAAGTTAAACTTAGCTCCGCATTAGATTCATAATTAAAATAATATAAGTGTCAAGTCAAAAATACAGTTACGCTCAATAAATGTTATTTACATTTGTTATGAAAACTAAATAGAGAAAAGTGAAAAAAACTGTGTGTACTTTGAATTTCACCAATAAACAATCTATGACCAAAAATGTATCATAAAGTAAAGTGTAAAAGTGTTCTTAAACATAAATATTAACCAGTTTTAACTGTGAACAATATAAACTATAATTATTGAATCAAAAACTAAAAAATTATATTTGAAAAAGTCGTTACAAAATAAAATTATGTGCGCGTCTATGTGGTGGCTTGTAATTGGTGGACCTTTTTAAACTGTCTTATCGGTTACTTTTATTGTTTGGTTTGATACCTAAGTCTGCTATCCTTATATTTATGATTGCATTGTTCAAAAATATTGTGACTACCTAGCTGAATAAGTGCGAGCGTTATTACCGAGTAATCGGGGTTCGAAATCCCACCCTTCCTACAAGTCAATTTTTTTTTATATTCTTATATATCCTTATTTTTTCTCGTTTAACATTGCTCAAGATGGCAGTAAAATGCGATAAGTGTAAAAAAGATATTATTAGAGGAAATTTCATAACTTGCGACAATTGCCAGAACGTCTATAACATAGAATGTACAAGTATAGGAGAGAAAAGGTTCTACTTAATGGCTACAGAAAATAGAAAAAAAACTCAAATGTGATGGTTGTACATACAATAAAACACCAGCTCCTACTACAATACAGGTAAATATTCCTATTGAAAATTCTTTTCATTCTCTCAGTGACATAGATACGGAAACTTCACAATAATCTATATACTATATTACTCAAAGAAAAAAACAAACGCAGACGTCCCGAGAAAACCTGTCTACATCGTATTGGTCAAGAAACTCAAATAGTCTTCCAGATCTCAGTCAAATAATTACTAGTGATAATTTGCAAGTATTAAAATTGGAATTGATGAGATTACAAACAGAACTCAACATAGCTAACAATGAAATTAAAAACTTAAACGCAATAAATACAGAACTAAATAAGAAAAATCAGGAGCAAGAGAAAATTATAGAATTATACAAAACTATAAATGTAGACGAATTAAATCCTAGTAAAGTTCTAACTAACTCATGTATGTCAACCCCGCTCGGTAATCAGTCTGAAAAAGTTAAGAGGTATCACTCTGGCAAAAAAGAATTTCCATTGGCAGAAGACTGTAATAAAAAACACATTGCTACAATACCCATACATGAGAATAAAAGGGACTTCACCTCAAGAAACAACATAATCGATACTTCAAAGCCTATAAATTATACAGAGAAGCACACATTTAACACTAAGCCAAACATATGTATAATCAGCGGTATAAGTAACCACAAGCAAATCTTCAATAATAAGAGACAATATGATGGAGCAGAGCGCCGCATACTATCACTATCGCACACCAGGTGGCGACATAGACCAACTGTCACGTGGGTTGCAGGAGAAGCTAGCTAACTTCACTCTTAACGATTTTTGCGTATTTATGATAGGACATATTGATTTTAAAGTTTCCAAAAAATTATAAAAATATTGTATATATCTTAAAGCAACGCATCCTGGCTGTACAACACACAAACATTATTATTTGTTTACCGACATATAAATATTGCTATAATTCTAATCTCTTCAATAAAAAGAATTGAACAATTCATTAATTTATTATACTCAGATAATAAAGTACACAAATACTGCTGTATACTGGACTCTAACAAATATTTAGAATATTCATATACTATGTTTTCGAAGTACTCAGGCAAAATAAATATAAATGGTGTTCGTATTATCTTGAACGACTTAAATAAATTAATGTCAAATATTGCAACAGAACAGTCAAACACATATACTGTTTTCAAAAGTACCTCTTGTCCTGTTAGTCCGGTGAAGGAAAGACTGACATATTGTCGCTCCTTTCGTTCCTTCACAGGATATTAACAATGAACTAAATAATATGCAAGCAGAAACAGTTCTAACTGGTCTTAATATACTTCACCAGAATATTCAGGGCATGAGATCTAAACTCAGCCAGATAGAGGTTCTATTAACTATGGATAAAATTGACGTCTTGTGTATTACTGAGACTTTTTTAAAGAACCAAGATGTAAAATTTTTACAAATTCCAGGCTATAAAGTTGCTGACTCATATTGTAGAAACGAGTCTAGAGGAGGAGTCTGTATTTATATTAAAAATAGTATAGATTTTATTTTACTTCCCTGTATAAATCAATTAAGCTTAGATAAACACCTTGAATGTTGTGGTATACTGTTGCCAGAATTAAATTATATTATTGTTTGCTGTTACAGAACTCCAGACTCAAGTTTTGAAATATTTATAAAAACATTGCACTTGTTATTACATAGAATTACTGTACGTTCAAGATATACGACTAAAAAAGTAATAATAGCTGGTGACTTTAATATCAATTTACTTGAAAATAATCTTAAATGTTCACTTTTTAAAAATACTGTATTAAAATATAACTTAAAACTAACAATAAATGACCCAACTAGGATAACAACAAAATCGAAAACTTGCATAGACAATATTATAACAAATATAAAAGATTACAGCTCAAAAGTTTTACATTTAGGCTTATCCGATCACTCTGCACAATACATAAACGTACCATGTAATCAAGGTTATATTGAAAAATATTGGTATGTACATAGAAGAAATGAAAATAAGTATTTAAATGTATCTCTCACGATTGAACTTTTCTGAAGTTTTCTCGTGGCGTGATGTCAATCAGGCGTATAATAGTTTCATTAGCTTATTCAAATTAATATACGATCTTTGTATCCCCGTAGAAAAGGTTAGAATCTCATTCAAGAAAAAATCAAATTGGCAGACAGTTAGCATTAAAAGAGCATGCAAACCTAAAAGAAAGTTACATCAGAAAATATTTAAATATAAGAAACAGCAATTAATACCGTATTATTGAAAAGTACTCGGCCTAACCAAGAAAATAAACACATACTAAATCAGTTATATTTTTATTTTTCTACATAATCACCATCAAGTTCAATACACTTTTGCCACCTCCCCTTCCAAGCATTTAGACCGTTAAAAAAAATGATTCTTCCTTAGAGTCAAAATATGCGTCTACAGCTGCTTTGACCTCGTCGTTTGTCGAAAATCTTTGACCTCCCAAGTGCTTTTTTAGGTTAGGGAACAGAAAGAAGTCTGATGGTACCAGATCAGGTGAATACGGCGGATGCGGTAACAGTTTAAAGCCACAGTTGTGAATTTCAGCCATTGACTGTACTGACGTGTGAACACGGGCGTTATCTTGATGAAACAGGACTTTTCTTCTGAGCATTCCTCGACGTTTTTCTTTTATTTCCTCTCGTAAACGACGTAGTAAGGTGCAGTAATAATCAGAGTTTATAGTCTGACCCCTTTCAAGATAATCAATCATAATCACACCTTTCGAGTCCCAGAATACTGAAGCCATCACCTTATTTGCCGACAAAATCGACTTAGCCTTTTTAGGGGGTGGTGAACCAGGTCTTCTCCACTGTTTTGATTGTTGTTTTGTTTCCGGTGTACAGTAATGAACCCATGTTTCGTCCATAGTAACAAAACGATTCAAAAAATCATCTGCATCGGCTTCAAATAACTCCAAACAGTCGCGTGAAATAGTCAATCGCGTCCTTTTTTTGTTCAACTGAAAGCAGTCGCGGAACCTACCTCGCAGACACCTTGTGGAAACCCAACTCGTTGACAATGATGTTTTGAGTTCGTTCATAAGAGATGCCTATAATCTCGGCTATCTCTCTAATTTTTAATCTGCGGTCTCCCATTATTAAATCAAGTACTTTTTTTAATATTTTCGTCAGTAGTTGACGTCGAAGGCCTTCCAGAGCGGGGTTCATCTTTCACACTCTCTCTACCACGCTTAAATTCTGCTATCCATTTTTTGACGGATGAATATGACAGAGCACAATCGCCTAATATACTGACCATGTCATCATGGATGGCTTTTGATGATAGCCCCTTCTTATGGAGATACTTAATGACGGCACGCTGCTCGATTTGCTCCATTCGCGAAAATTATGTCCGATTACTTTGTTAATAAATTTATAAAATCACAACTAATTATCGCACACGTTTCGAACTTCACACAATGAACTAGTCTGAACTGAACTAAATAATGTGGGTAGATTTGATTTTTAGAATTGAATGGATCTGTGTTAGGCCGAGTACTTTTCAATCCACCTAGGTATAGGAAAAAAATACTGCAAAATTTTAAAATCCGTTACACGTTTAGCAAAACAAAAATCAAACATAAAATTCATTAAAAATAGTAACAACAAAAATAAAGCTACATGGCACTTAATAAAAAAGGCAGACCACTTCACAAAACATATTCAAAATAACCATTAAAAATGTGACTATTGATAATAATAATATCACGGATGCAAGTTCTATAGTTGAAGTATTTAACACTCATTTTGCTACCATCAACGCTCAAACACAAGCTACAGATACCTACTATCTACCTCCTACACATATAAATAGCTTATATTTATCACCCGTTGATGGAAATGAATTGGAAAAAACAATAATGAACCTTAAAAATAAAAAAAGTTGCGGCCACGACGACATATCGGTCAAAATTATTAAAAAATCTATAGAGTGTATTAATGAGCCTCTTGTTTATTTATTGAACTTAATGATAGAAACTGGTACCTTTCCAGATGAATTAAAAACTGCAAAAATAAAACCCTTGTTCAAAAAAGGTTCAAAATGTAATGTCAAAGACTATAGGCCCATAGCTCTTTTACCTAACTTATATTTGAAAGAGTCATCTACAATAGACTTGTAGAGTTTTTCAATAAATATAGTATAATAAGTAAAAATCAATTTGGCTTTCAGAAAAATAAATCCACTACACTTGCGATCTATGAAATACTCAAGGAAATTTGGGAATCATTAAATAATAAAACTTCTTGTGTAGGTTTGTTTTTAGATATGTCAAAGGCATTTGACTGTGTCATATATGATATACTATTAAATAAACTTGACAGATTAGGTGTACGTGGCTTGACATTGGAACTATGAAAAAGCTATTTAAATGATAGAGTGCAAATAACAGCAATTGAAAAATTTGACAAAGTCAGTAAATCCTTTGAAGAAGTACGGTCCGAGCCAGTTAAAATGACTCTAGGCTTGCCACGAGGAAGTATTTTGGGCCCTTTGTTATTCTTAATTTATGTGAATGACTTGCCAAATATCACCGACAATAGATGTGTTATGTTCGCTGATGATGCAACAATCTTTATACCTGATACTCAAATGAATTTTGAAAATAATATAAATAAAACTTTAAAAATAACAGTTGAATGGCTTAAACAAATTAATTTAAACGTTAATCTAACAAAAACTAAAATAATTCAATTCAGAAATTACAAAACAAATTCTTTAAATTTAAATATAGCAGATAACCTCTCGTCAGTCCAAAACCTTCTAAAGGTTGCTGTCAAAAAGTACGCATCTGTCCACAACCATCAGAAGGTTGCTGGTTACTTATAAACTTCAGATTCGAAACAGTCCTAGTAAAAGTATACGTATCTCCCTATAACTGGTACAACATGCAGAGAATTAAACAAAGACGGCAATTAATATCACACACGCTTCATAAACCAACCATAGAAGCTGTGAAATAGTAATACATTTATTCCGTTCAGTTGCTCGTTCTGTGACGCGGTGTCGTGTGTTTACGTGCAAAGTATTAATTGTTGAAAGTGATTTCGGAAGTCAATATTAAAGATAAACATGAATGGGTAAGTCATAAATACTTTTCTATTAATATAAAATATATTAGATGACGATTTGTACATAAATTGTTCCATTTTATCAAACATTGCTTGCCATTTCGACCGCCATGTTGAAACCATGATCGTATTAACTTCAATTGTTTTAAATTAAAAGTACAATTGTGAATGGTAAACATTGTCTTAATATCGTTAACATACTTATTTACAAACATAACAATAATTACAATTGTATAGTTTCATTAAATATTTCATAAAACTAAAAATAACAAATTGCTTAAATCTCTCGTCCACCTGGCGGTTGTGGACAGACATGGGTCGTAAAGTTATTCACATGAAATCCGCCATCTTAGAGAGCAGGTTGTATAGTATGGATACGATTTTGGGAATGCCAGTGTTGGTATATTTTTACGATAATTTTTGGTGTGGATTTTTATTTGTTTCGTTTTATTTTTTTGTCAATAAATTGTTTTACTTTTTGTATGTGCATGTCATTATATTTTTTTGCACTTGATTGACAAGTGAAACACTCTTTGTTTTCACTCTTAGCCCAAGGTTATCTGGAAGAGATTGCTTTTTGTACGTAGTAGTTTTTATTGCTAAGCAATAATCCTTAGCTCGTTGCGGTGCTATAGTTGGAATAGCCTCAAAGTACGAAACGGTCACCCATCCAGTTGCAA